TATCCCTCAACCTTTTAAAAAAGGCAAAAGGAAGATGATGATAATTGTTTTATTGTTGGATGGAATGTTAAACATGAGATTGTTGTCGGAGTTTCTCATGTAGGTGCGGTCTATATACTATATATAAGATATGGTGTGTTGAAAATAGTTTAATATGTCTAATTCTTGTGTTGAACGTGGATTCATTGTTTTGCCTGCATTTCGTCAACTGATTTCTTTAATGTAGCAGATCTAGATAAAATGTGATATATTGTGGTTATCAGTATTTATAAAGTTCTAATATATATATGTTAGAGCATTCAAATTTTGAAACTGCTATTTCGTGTCTTTTATTATATGAACTATAAATTACACACAGTAAATTTTAGTAATGAAATTGTAGAATGATTTATTATGCGTACTGAATCAAACATTAACACTAAATTGGTTCAAACAAGAAATGTTTACCCATCCCCTTTTAAATTCATTTTTAGCATTACATTTTCTTGGTTAAAATTTTCAATCTAGGTTGTACAGGTGATAACTTCTACTTTACATTGAAATTGAACAGATAATTGTGGATATCTTTACTACATTTTTAATGGATTGATGAGAAATTGATGTTTAATGATTAATGTTCAAGATCTTCAATAATTTGGTGGTAGAAATTGAATATTGCCTCATTTAACATAATATATATCTAAATTGTTCAACCTTTCTGTTAGATACTGAGGGTGGCAAGTTATGACAACGAAACTGAAATGTCTGACCTGCCTTGGGCCCTGGCTAGACCGTCAAGTAAGGGAAATCCTGTGCAAGATCTAAGACGTAATGTTAATCCAAAGTACAAAGTTGATGAGTTGAATGAACCTCCCCCTCGGCTTCATGGTATTCGCTCATTGCTTCCTTTACCTGGAGGCGATTTGTTGACTGGAGGCACTGACTTGAGAATTCGTCGATGGGACCATTACAGGTTTTTGTTTTACTTCCTTTCTTCCTTACTTGGTTATGGAGAAGACTGGGTTCTTTACAATACAGGGGAATCAGCTTTTTATTCACTCATTTTTGTCGTTGCAGTCCTAACAGAACTTACTGTGTCTGTGGGCCAAACGTGAAGGGAATTGGAAGTGACGATTTCTATGAAACTAGATCTAGTTTCGGTGTGCAAGTTGTGCAGGTATTTTTGCTTTTCTTAGATTTTACCTGGAAATTTGTGGTGCGATGATAGGTAGGTTATCAATATTAGATTATGCATTATCACGACTGGTGATACCTTCAAATTTACGAGCGAAGAAGAAATTTCTCTTATTCAACCTCTGTACGGCCCTCAAAGTTGGGTGTTTAAATTGTTCGACGCTCTTGCAAAGATATTCCAATAGTGGATGATTTTATTTTATTTTCTTGAAAAGCACGTTCCATATTTCATTTTGCCTTCTGTCTCGTCATTTTATTTTCTTGTGTTTGTTCTGAGTTTCTATTACTTCTTGTATTAAATCAATTAAAGTTGTAATTAGGTGCAGAAGAATATTTGACATTTTGTGGAATTATTTTGAGCAAATGTGAGGATGCAAACTGCTAACTATTTTTCCAACGGCATAATAGTTTTTTGTTCATGTTTATCTGGTTATGTTTGTAAGAAATTACCATTCATTTTTAGAAACCTGGCTTTGATTAGTGGGACAGGAATGGGTAAATCAGTAGACCGTGTTAAGGTTAACCTACACCAGTAGTGGAAAAACAGGCAAAGAGACGGAATAAAGGCAAAGGGGTGGGCAAGAAAGCAAGAATTCGTTACAAGAATAACCAGAAACCATGGGTGTAGTAGGGAGGGACGGAGGAATGTTGTTGAGGGGAGGGAGTCAATGAATTGGAAAGCAGCTTTTTACTTGATGAGAAATCTTCGCACCTTCACTTCTCTTGTCGACTGGACTTATTAGAAATCCTAGATTTTGAGTTCTATCATAAACGTGATTGTAAGCTTATGTCTGCCCAATTGCTAGAAGATTGTTTATGGCTCATGGATGGAAGCGTCCAAGGGAAACGAGGGTTAATTTTTGAAGGTTTGGCAACATAGTTTTTAGCCTTTGTAATCACTTGAAAAGCTATATGATTAACCACGTATAGAATTTTTCTGGCGATTGTCTTGATTTATATCAGGAGCTTGGAGCTCTATTTACTAGGTGTTCTTTAACTACCTACAAACTTTTGTATGAAACTTATCATGCTTATGCTTAATTATTTTTGGTTTTCTGTCAAAAAGGAGACTAGGAGACGACCTCTATCAACAAACTTGACCACAAAGACTATTCTGACGGCTGCTGCAACAGATTCAGCTGGTTGCCATCGAGACTCCATTTCATCTTTGGCTTCCGTGAAGTTGAACCAGAGACTCCTATTATCAGGAAGTAGGGATGGAGCTATTAAAGTTTGGAAGTAAACGATCCAAGTAAACTCTACGATTTGCTGTACATACTTAGGCTGAATGCTAATTTTAATTGCGTATGTTCTTAGGCTAAAAAGATTAGTTGGTAGCAAGGTATATGAGTTATATATATTCTATCCCTCTGGCATATACTGAGTCATAGACATTTTCCTTTGTACAGCATCTGCAATGAAGCATAAAGAAAATGGCTTTATCAATTGTTTAGATTATAATTCTTCAGTATTGTTGGTGCATCGGGTATTGCCATTTTAAGAATTTCTGGAATTTCGAGCCGTTTACTACACAAAGTAATGCTGTGGCTAAAATTCTGTATAATTTCGAAGATTTATCCAAATATCAGGAAATCAAGAAGTTTGGTGCTGTTTGTTTTCTGTAATATTGAGGGTGGTATTTATCATGGTATACGAATTCATGTAGGCTCTACATTTAGGACTAATGAAGTATGCCTGTTGGCCATAGCAACGCTCCATACTTGAGGTTGTACAAACTGCCATGCATCTGCACTCTTGTTATGCTCTGCCTCTTCTATTTTAGTGTGCCGTAAATCCCAGGAAAGGATACCGATCCATAATCATCATTCTGCCATTATCAGTCTGTTGTTTAAGTTCTCGTACCTTTACACAGCTTCTCTTCCACATTGGTAGCCAACCTTTGCTTTCTCATGACATCTCTCAAGTCCTCTGCATACTTCTATTATGGATATAGGAGGATGCAAACTACAAGGTCGATATAGGAAGTACATTGATACCTATTTCTTTCTGAACCCCATAGTTCTCCAGCCGTCCATAGTTCACGTACCCAATGGCTCCGGTGATGGCACCGGATTTTCATTGCCATGGAATATGGGTATAACTTCGGCGCAAGGATCGCCATCATAAATCTCTTGATGGAGGTTGAAGGCAATCGGTTCTTCCGGTGGCGGCGGTGGAAGCTCTGGTTTTTGGGTATGCAATTTCCGTTTCACTGGTTTTGGAGATTTGGGTTAGTTAGCGATTTGTGAGTGAGAATCTCTGACCCATAATCTAAGTGAGAAGTTTGTGCTCTGTAATTATTTGGATGAAGAAGAAGAAGATAAAGGTAACGCTTCATCCATTGAAGAAGATGGAGGTGGTGGTTTGTCAAGATGGAGAGTCTCCAAGTGGGAATTATTTTGTTTTGTTTTGTCATCTAATCCATCCTTTCATGATTCAGACCAAGTTGATATACAGTAACATAACATTTTGGACAAATCTGATTTGGAGATTCTCTACACAAACATAAATTCAAACTACACAGTCAATTTTAAGTCACATGAGGGTTCAACTTTGAGCTTGTTAGTCAAAGTTTGATTATCTTTTGTTCATACTAGACATTAATGGGAGAATAATTTTCCTTTCAAGGTGAAAATACCTTCTCATATTATATTTGGAGGTTTTGATTCATTTGTTCCTTTTCATCTTGGTAAAGAATCTCCGCATTCTCTCTTCGTACTTAACTACACTACTTTTAATGCTAACTCAAAAGATTGGTTAAATGTGGAATCTTTTAAGTGCAATTATTTTTGTTTATTTACTTAAACTTAGCCTATATATCTTTAATAAATTTCAAAATTAGTTCTTGATGTAATACTTATCTAACCTAAGATCTATAAAGAAGAGTGGAAAGAAAAAAAAGCCAAATGAAAGAGGTGGAAAAAGTAGAATGAAAATGAGATTCCAGTATACTCACACGGGAGTATAAATGTAACAGCTCAAGTACATTATTAATAGATATTGATCCCTTTGAACCATTACGTTGGTCTTTAGTTCTAGGTTTTAAAATGCATATATTAGGGAGAAGTTTCGACACCCTTATGAAGAATATTTCGTTTACCTCTCTAGTCGATATGAAATCTTACACTAAAAAAATGATTACCGATTCTAACTTACAAAAACTACAAGTTGAGAACGAGTCAAAAGAATAATTTTGACATCTCCCATGTGATTTCTGATTCCTACACCTAAAAGGTTAAATGTTAGGTTTGATTTGTTGCAGCCAGGTGAAGCAGAGCCACAAACATTCTTTTTTGATGCATTTAATTTAGTTTAATCATCTGAAAAGTTGTCTAATCCACTATGCCCACAGCTTTGAATCAAACTTCAAAGAGTTTATAGAACACAACAGCCCACAATGCAAAGGTGAGCAACTGTTTGGCATGTAATTCTTGTAAAAGCAACCAAAACAAGCCATTAGAATGGTAACTACTTAATTCTAACATGCTCTAGAGTCTCACATTGATTAATTGAGCAGAAGATTATACGTTTTATGTTTAAAATAATAAATACGTACAAGCAAGTGTATAATGTTAATGGACGCACGCAAAGAAGTTGAGTATGAGTGAGACACGCTCGGATCAAGTGCGAAGGTTGAATTTACAAAACAGCCCTCCACCAACAACAACACCAACACCAACACCAACAAAGAAGGAGACAGAGAGAAAGGGGGAAAACATTCACGGGCAACTCCAAACAAACAAGAGGAAGTGTTAAATTTCTTAGGTACTCTGTCTATACTCACATTTTTCATTTTTATATCCCAAAACTGCAACCTTTCTCGCACTGGCGACCACCCGTGAACTCTCCTCATCAACTCTTTTCATTTTCCATTCATTCTCTAATCTCCTTTCCACCTAATACTTTTCTCCCACTAACCTCTCTCTCTCTCTCTCTGTATATATAAACCCTCCAACCCTTTTCCATAACAATTCCGATTCCGGTTCCTCTGTTTTGAGCTTCCTCCAACAATGTCAAAACTTCAGCCCCCTTTCGCGTTCTCTCTTCTTCTTCTTCTTCTTCTTCTTCTTTTGCTCACTCAAACGCACTGCCACACTAAAGGGATCAGACCCAAGAAATCGCCCAGAACCATTCTTCCCAAGAATTCCACCAAAACCCAATTCTCAGAACAGCAATTTATGAAATGGGTCAAATTCGTCGGCAGCCTCAAACACTCTGTTTTCAGAACGGCGAAGAATAAGCTTTTTCCTTCTTACACACTCCACGTCGCTAAAAACCCCGCCGCCGGCGACTTTACGTCGATCCAAGACGCCATCGATTCCCTACCCTTCATTAATTTGATTAGAGTTGTGATCAAGGTTCATGCAGGAGTATACAAGTGAGTTAAAAAACCCCACTAAGAATGCTCTGTTTTTTTGTTCGTTTTCTCCTCGTGTCCTATTTCTGAATGTGAATTCAATTTAACAGAGAAAAAGTAATCATACCACCGTTCAAATCGTTCATAACAATCGAAGGAGCAGGGGCAGCCAAAACGATCGTTCAATGGGGGGACACAGCACAAACACGAGGCCCAAAGGGGCAGCCGTTGGGGACCTATAACTCCGCAACATTCGCAGTAAATTCCCCTTATTTCATAGCCAAAAACATCACATTCAAGGTAAAACATCACAACCCTCCCTGTCCCGAATTTGTTTCCTTCAAAAATTAAACGCGTGTGTATATATGTTCATGCAGAACACCACCCCTGTACCACCACCAGGGGCGATAGGGAAGCAGGCGGTGGCGTTCAGAATCTCAGGCGACACGGCGGCATTCTACGGATGCAGATTCTTAGGAGCTCAGGACACACTGTACGACCATCTGGGTCGGCATTATTACAAGGATTGTTACATCGAAGGGTCAGTGGACTTCATTTTTGGAAATGGGTTGTCTCTGTTTGAGGTAAGAGGGTCGATAATGAATTTCTTCAGCGCTGTGATTAGAAAGTTGATTGAAACTTAACATTGGGATTGATGGATGGTTGAAATAGGGGTGTCACGTGCACGCAATAGCGAGGTACACAGGGGCGTTGACAGCGCAGGGGAGAAGCAGCCTGCTGGAGGACACAGGGTTCTCATTCGTAAACTGTAAGGTCACGGGGTCTGGAGCGCTGTACTTGGGAAGGGCATGGGGGCCCTTCTCTAGGGTCGTCTTCGCTTACACTTACATGGACAATATCATCATTCCCAAAGGCTGGTACAATTGGGGTGATCCCAATCGCGAAATGTAACGTTTTCTTCTCTCTCTCAATCTTCATTCATGAAGCTTACAAATTTGAATTACTCAAAAACAGAGTAAGAGATGAAATAATTCAAAAACAGAGGAGGAGGAGGAGGTTAGCTTAGTTGCAAGAACAGAGCCAACGCATGGAGAAAGAAGCAGCTGTCGTTTTCCTCTTTTTGTTTTTCACTGCTAAATCAACGTGGAATCCACAAAAACAAAATATTTAAAAAAGGACCCAACTTTTTAATCAGTACTCGAATATTTTTAGTAGCTGAGCTGAGAGACCACCACTGCCGCCGCCGCCGCCGCCACCTAACATCTGGGCGGTGGCATTTGCCCATGTGGCGGTGCTTGATTTGCTACAGAGCAAGCACATGCAGGGGCATTTTGGTAAATCTGTTTTTTTTTTTGACAGGACTGTGTTCTACGGGCAATACAAATGTACAGGAGAAGGAGGTAGGTTTGCAGGCAGAGTTTCATGGTCCAGAGAGCTCACTGACGAGGAAGCCAAGCCTTTTATTTCGCTTAGCTTCATCGATGGCTCTGAATGGATCAAAATTTAATTTCTTTTCTTCATATATTTTTATTTTTATACAAATTTGAGTGCTTATATTATTACTTATAATCTATTGGAAATGGATTTACTCTTAATCTTACTGTATGCTATTTACTTGGGTCCGAAATCTATGAAAAACTTATGCTTAAAGTGGACAATATCTTATTAAGTTTTTGAGCTATCTTTTTATTTCTTAGAAACCCACTCGGCGTTGAATCTAATTCATTGGATCGGATTGGATGGGATCGAATTGAAATTGAAATTGTTCCTAGAATAGTGAAATGGACAAAATAATTCAGCAGATGTTGGAGTGATGTGTATTTGAAACTGAAAAAAAGGAAAAAAGAAGAAAAAGTGGAGGGCAGCAGTGGGCTACATGGAAGGCATTTCCAGCTCCCCTCCTCCACAAATTTGTTTTACTTGGAGACTGCCAATTCTGCGTTTGGTGTCTGTTGGCAGCCCCCATCTTTTTCACGCTTTACCCTAATAAACCCTTTCTAATCCCTTCTCTCAATACCCACATACCCTTTATACTTCTATTCAAATCCCAAACTTTCATGTTATAACTTCCTAACTGGGAGTGAATAACGTAACGAAACATTCTTATAAGGACGCGTAAACCCCTCTCATTAGTACATGCGTTTCAAAGCTTGTTTGGTTCAGTGGTTCCTTCTTTCTCAATCTCTAAAACCTAAAACCCTAATCATTATTTATCTCCCGCCAAAAGTTTCCCCAAATTATTGCTACAAAAGAAAGGAAAAAAATCATACTCGGGTTTGATTTGACTGATCTCTGCCCTTTTCCCCTTATTCCTCAATTTTGCTGAAACCCCGTTTCTTTTTTTAAGTTTAATATATCATTCAACTTCCGGGTGATGGAGAAATCTGAAAACGGGAAGAAACTGGTTCATTAACTTTAATCTAAACCACTTGCATTGAGCAGTTGATTCAATGATGTAACTTATAAAATTCTAAACGTCGGGAACAGAGGAAGGGAATTAATGAGAGTGAAGTTTAGGAACCAATTTCAAATTGTTCATGATCTTCTCTGCAAGTTGTTGAATTCCGATGGTCTATCCAGTTTGCTCATCACAGCATTCTTGAAATTAATGGCTTCTTGTACCTGCGAACAAGACCTCTGCATTCGAACCCCACTAAGGCTGCTTCTCGATTCCATTAATTCATTCAACGAAAGCCTCTTCTTCGAGCCCGGCTCCGGCCTCTGTTTCGGAGCACTCTGGGACCTCAATTTCGCCATAAACGATTGAGTATTCGCCATGTAATTTGGGAAATTCAAGTACCCTCTGAAGAAATTATCAGCACAAATGCTCTTCGCTGGAGTCGGAGGGCCATTGGATCTGCCGGAGCTGACGAATCGTGGAGTGCTCTGCGCTGTCGAGATCAAACGGCACTCGTCGCCAGTGAGACCCCAGTCGGAATCATGCCGGCAATCAGGAATCTGCAAACGCGACGGAGTTCGACAGGGGAGTGGAGACGACAACGTTTGGTGAAATGGGTCGTCGCCAAATTCCGACGCTGACGTGTTCGTCCGGCGTGACCAGGATTTTGGTCGGCCGGTGTCCATTTCAACGATTTTGGGGCTTTCTTCAAGCGCTGTAAATGGTGTGTTGTCAAAAGAAGATGAAAGCCTTCTGCTGTGTACTGAAGCTGTGTGCTCACTCCTTGTGTCGTCAAACCGCTCCTACAAAACATTCAATATTTGGGGTTTAAATTTTAGCACAAATGACGAATTCCAAAAAGAAATTAAGTACTCACCGTAGATTTTCGAGCTTGGAGTTCAAATCTGCGAGTTCTCTGAGATCGAACGGTGGCCTGAGCTCTGATTAAAGCTTGCATACTATGAAGAGTTGCCGTTGCTTGTTTACGAATCAAATATCCTCTCACAAGCGCCTGTAATTTCACCAGTCCTTTAAGCGCTCTCAGTGCTTTTCTCGCCTAATTTCAAAGCTCCAAAAGCCACCAAATTCTTAAACAAATTCCGTAACCGTAATGCTCAAGCGAAAAAAAAAAACAGAGAAATTAAACCACTCACCAGAAACCCTCTGAAGCAAGTTTGAATCTTGACAGAGGCCCATCTCTCTCGGCCGCCACCGAACATAGTACCTCGCCCATGGCTAGTGAGCCGGACGACAGCCACAGCAGCTTGTGCTGCAGCAACCGCAGCATCAGCAGCAGCAGCAGTGGCTGCAGCTACTGCTATAGCGTGCTTGCTCTGTTCCTTCTCTGTTTCGGAGTAGAAGGATTTGAGCCAAGCGGCCTCAGCGGCGGATAAATTGGGCGGTATTGTAGCCGGATTGTTGCAGAGTTGGGCGTCTCCGACGAAATTAGAAGTGGGGTTCTTATCCTTCATGAAGGCGGAGGTGGAATTTTCCATGGTGGGTTGTTTTTCTTTCTTAATCCCAAACAAGTTCTTCAGCCATCTGGTGGCTCTCCCCATTGTTGGCAGAAGAAACAGAGAAGAAGAAGAAGAAGAAGAAGAAGAAAAAGTGAAGTTGAAAACAGAGTATGCACAAAGAAAGGAGGTGAGGAGGAGAGCGTAGCAGTGTGAGGGTTAGAAAAAACGCTAAGATTCCTGCATCCTTATAAGATAGATATCGTTATCAATGGCAGATTCGAAAAGTTCCAAATCCTGGGAATAAAAATTTAAAATTATTTTTTTCTTATTTCAAAATTATAAATTTTAATTACCTCTCGGGAATATTCGTAATATCTTAATATTTTTCGAATTTTGGGTAACAATTTGTTGGATGTTTGAACAAAAATAATATAAAATATTACATTATTCTCTCTCTACTTTATGGAGGGACGTGCCGTTGTAAAGAGAAAAATACAAAGACAACCCCTGAGGCAAACTGGCGTCTTGTGAATTTCTTATTTATTTATTTATTTATTTAATATTTAATTTTAAAATTGGAGGCATACGATATAAAATCCAAATGGGTGTTTTGAACCCTACGTTGGAAAATTCAAATAAAATTAATAAAAACAGTAAAAAATAAAATAATAATTATATAGAAGAGGTTTGTCAGCATAGTGTGGAAAGGCAGGTTAAAGATGATGGTAAAGCTTGATATAATAAGAATGTACTTTATCCAGAGCCTTGTCATTTCAATTACATCCTTTTCAATAATATTTTAAATAAATAAATTCTTTTTCTAAATAATTTTAAAACATTAAATAAACATCATTAATTTCTACAACATTCTTCTCATTCCTATGTTTCGCGGGGAACTATGTTGTTTGATTTGGTGTAATCATATAATATAATAATATGTTTGGGATTTTAATTCCTATTTTATACATTTTATAATTTTTTTTTTCTTTCTTTTTTATGCGTCAAAATCACATTTATTATTATTTTTTTTTTTTTTGGAGTGCGAATGGGAATCTTTTATTTTTGTTTTATATTAATTTTTATTAATATATATATATATAATAAGGCTTAATGTCCAAATTATTAATCTCCAGGCTGTCCTTGGTGAGAGGTCTTCATAGCTTCTAATTTCAGCGATGCCTAAGTTTCCTTCTTTTCATTTCATTCCTTTTGGCCTCTTTACTTTTCCTCCCATTCTAGTAAACATAAACCCTAAACAACCTAGAGAAGATGTTCGGTTCGGGTAAAGAGAAAGGCATAGCCCCGTTTTTAACTAATGAGTAGGTTTCCTCGCAAAGGAAGATCTTCATTTACGTATTTCTTCTTGCTCACTCTTTATAGCTTCAAAATTAATGAATTGAAACCACGTTTAAATAAGAACCATCTTAATCATATAATGCCATTTCTCTTTTAAAAAATTTAAAAATCCATAATTAAACGTGTTTTGCTTGAATCAATTTTTATGTTGGGTGATCTTTTGAAAATTTTTTTACGATACATGTATATGAGGATAAAACATACTGGAATAATTAAAATTCGTGTTGGTTTATGAAGATAGTTTTCACTTCTAGAAGTGAGGAGTAAGCAACGTGACTCATACCAAGACTATTAAGCCTCAAATTTAGATTCGAGTCATTATTTATATATATATATATATGTTTTAAAAATTTAAAGGGTACGAGTAAACTTCCATATTGCAATCTTTCCAATATATTCACTTTCTAAATATATTCATTCATTCTTTCACTATTGGGTCGACTACATTGGGCTTTGGGCCTTCAAATTAGTAACTGTAGTTGGGCTTTTGGACTTAAACGTGCACGTATTGGGCCAACCAGTCCATTCTTATTGACAAAGGCCCAAAAACAGATTTCAATAAATATATTTCCTAAATCAATTGTTAAAAAAGACGATAACTCGATAAAGAGGAAATAAATAAATATATATAATATTTTCCTTTTTAAAAATATATATTTATACCTTTTCGGATATGTAACAGGCATGTACTAAATAAATTAGTTTATATTCATATGTTAAATTATTTTATACCTTTTGAAACTCATAAAAGGGTAGGCTGCTTTATTATATGTTTTCTTTTTATTTCACCCCTTTCTAAAGCCGACTTTAATCCAAGTCAAATTATATATATAAGTTTTTTTGATTTATTAAAATATTAATTAAACGTTACGAACCCAAAAAATTAATTAAAAAAAAAACTAATCTATTAAAAAACAAAAAGTAGTGCACCTTATCATAATAACAAGGGACACAATCTAAATATCTTATTAAAAAAAAAACATAATAAAAGGAGAATTGATAATTCCTAAAAATTAAAAATTAAAAAAAAAATATATATATATATATATATATATATATATATTCAAGCTGTTAATTCGCCACATAAACACACTTGAATACGATAATGATGGGGTATTTATTGAGATATAAAGATTTTATCCTTCTATTTTTTTTTTAATATTGCTGAAATTATTAATTAATAGCGTGACACAACAAGCTTATTATTATTATTATTATTATTTTCCTATATGAGTTGACATTAATAAGACAGTATTGTATTGTTATTGTTGGTCAATAGATCTTAATTGGGTATTTAGAACAGGAACCCTAAATATTATTATTTTTATTCATCAAACTAATAATAATAATA